CAACTTGGAAAAGGCAGAACAGACGTTTACGCTGCGTTTACGTGCATTATAACCATTTGCTTTTATTGCACATACAATAGATAATTAAGTGACAGTTCACACCGGTTCGTTACTTCCAATATAACCCAGGCATTATTGGGAAGAGTAGCTCTCTTACTCTCTCAAAAGTTTTCCCAGTGAGAGAATTTTCACGTGCCTGAACGACTTACTGTAATTTCTTCACCGGCCATCTCTACCGGATAAAGTTTGAAATTCGCATTTAATTTAATTTTTATTCTAGACTTTAGCACTGTTTCTCTTATTTCTCTGTATATCTTTTATCCAAGAATGATAGAATACAAGATTGCGCCGATCAGAGAGGATTTTTGAGAATAACTTTTGTGTGACGTCACACTGGTGCAATTGCGAGAGAGAAATGCCAAAACGTGAGCAAGAATGGAAGAAGAAGAAAAAATGTTGCAAGGAAAACGTAAACAAGTTGCACCGGTGTGACGTCATGCAAACAACGATTCTGTCAAATTCGTTAAGAGAGGAATAGCGGTCCGAGATCGGCGCATCCTTTGTATTCTCTCAATCGTGTCTTTTATCATGCATATGTACACATAACAGTTAATTTTGTAACTAACTTTTCACATTTCAGCTGTACGTCTGCAACGGGTATTTAAGAGATCGGCGTTTTTTAGCCTTGCTTTTGGCTCCTTTGGAATATCGTACAAGAGCCCTTGAATTCGTTGTAATTTTGTAAGTGACGGGCAAAACTCATTATTAATATAAAAGATGCAGTATTAATCAATATATTTGCAATACGATTTCATAGGGTAAAAATGTCAATTAATAAGAAGAGTGGCGTGTGGAAATACTTCACCGATGAGGAGGATAAGAGAGTGAAATGCAAGTTGTGCGGTCAGCAGTTGTCTGTGTCAAATAAATCCACTTGCAGTCTTATTCGTCATATGGACAGACGGCACCAATATCGGTACAACAGGAATTCTAGGCAGGAGCACCTTGAAGAAGAAGTACTTATTAACATCGAGGATAACAGCCGTGATCTCATCAAGCCTCTTCCAATGAAGAAGCAACGTCTAAGCAATCAACAGGTAATAAAAATTATTGTTCAAGAGTATCATCCCTTCAGTATAGTAGAAGAAGTAAAACTTAAAAGGGTGTATCCTTTGAATGCCAATTATAAGCTTCTAACCAGTAAAACCATTTTCGGGCATATGAGCGTACGTAAGAAATTCTCTGACAAAAAGGAATCAACTGCCCAAACCCACGGGAACGTAAAAACCCCCTTTTCCTGCCCGAAATGAAACATCAAAACGCCCAAAATTATAAAAAAAAAAGATTTCAGCTGCAGTATTTTTTTAAACATACTTAACCAAAAGTTTGTTTGATCGATCACATGTTCATCAAACATCAGTTCAGGTCAATAATAGAATTTCAAACAACGCCACCCCGTAACTTGGCGGAACATATAATTTTTAATTTATTTTCGGTTTTTCTTAATTACGAAAAAGCATCTGTGAAGTACAGAACGAAATCGTATTCAAACATAAAAATCTCAAAAAAATTAATTTGTTTAATATAAACAAAAGGTCGTTTGGTGCAAAATCATTTGTATTTGAGCTTTAAACAAACAGGACATAGTTAATTTCTTTTTTTTATTTATTAACACAATTAAATTGGTGAAACCAAACTTCAATTTCCAAGCGATGCACTTAAGTGGCAACAGCAAAAGCCGCCTGAATTAACTCTCAAATTCTGGGCACGAAATGTGTTTTTTGCGATGCGTACTTCTGGACATTGTACCATTTTACCAGTCCAGATTGTGCGGGAATGCTTATTCAACTTTCAATTAGTTTTGACAACATTGAACAGCTGATGGTTTGACACTTTACCAGATTTTG